CGATGAACTAACGACAACCAGACAAAGATAATTGAGCAAAATGTAACCTAAATATGTGATACATTATGACTAGTTAGCCGGTTGTAATTACATATTTTTATATGTGAATCTATCGTTTGAAAAAAAAATATGTGATACATTATGCAACAGAAAGCTGAATTATTTGAGCAAGTGCGAAATATATATGCGATTCGAAATTTTATTTTGGGTAAATTATTACTCAGAAATTATTACTCGACAACTATTCTGACGCATATTTATCGCTTAATTATTATTTAATAAAGAGAAAAAGAAAGAATAGTGGAAGTATTAAAGAAACATTACAATATACTACCAGAGAGATACGAATATTGAATCATAGAATCATTATATTTTTTTTGTCTCTTAGAAATGTGTCAAATTGTGACCCGCACAACCATTTATTTTATTTTTCTATTAAAACATGTGATTATTAAGCGAAATGTTACACGCATAATTAAGTGTAGATTAATTTATTTAAAATTACAAATTTGATAAATTCGTATATGTGATTATTACTCGCATAGTTACTATTTAATACAAAAAAAAAAAAAAAACAAAGATAATTGAGCATGCGCCAATCCATTATGCAATAGAAAAAACAAAAGCAAGTTCTTCTATGTTAAGTGATAAATTATGCGACAGACATACGACGAATATGCAGAAAACAATTATTTTTTTATATGTGTTAAAAATCATGTTGTGTGAGTAAACTAATAATTCAAGACACAATTGCCATAAAATATATAGAAAGACTATATATATATATATATATATATAGAAAGACTGACTTTGACAATAAATATTATTTCATATTATATAATAAACTACATTAAAAAGAGAAAATATATTACATATAAAAAAAACTAAGACATCTCAAAGTCTGGAAATTTTAAGACGTATGTTCTTAATCCTAACTGTGGATTCCGCTACGCTAGGATTGTTTTTTTTTATTTTTTTTTAGGATTCGAGGTGCACATCAATCGACGTTCTTCATAAAATCTAACACGAAAGTACCCTGTCTGACCCTAGGAACATGGGTGAACTATGCTGATACACGATTTTTGCCAACCTCAATCGAGACATTAAGAGGACTATTATGCCATCATTACGGAATATACCCCCAGAGCCACGATACCAAGAAGGACCTCTGCCAAGACGAAAGATGTCGACCTTGAAGACTTCTCCAAAGATACCACCTCACTTCTAGCTACGGGGCATACATGCCGACATATACCAAAAGTAAGACCCCTCATCATTGTCGATCTCAACATAGTCGAGCTTCATCATGAGCTAATTTGAAAAGGGCTGCCACCTAGAACCTGTTCCTAACGCCCAAAAGATAAGCCACTTGCCCAATCAGAGCAAGTTGTCTGCAAATTGCCATAATACGTCACCACGCAACCAATCAGAGGCTGATGCACGTATCGAAGGTATAATATTTCATAGATATCCCTTTCTATAAATCGAGAGGTTCAGGAGCCTTAAAGACCATCGAATTCGACACTGACCCCTACACCAACACATGTCATATACAAGTCTCCTTCCTCCTTGGGTTTTCCTTGCTTTTCCTAATATTTTTTATTCGTTTCAAGATCCCCAACCTTATAAGGTTTGTATACAAAGGAGGTCTGGTGCAGGCACTTCACTTTTTCTTGCTTAAGCAGTTCATATTATATTTGTTGCACACATTAGTTTTACATTAAAATACTAAAACATTTTCTAGATCACATATCATCGCTTCGGTGGTACCGTTGGCGCAAACACACGTCAACAAAATGCATCAAGTGCATCAAATTTTTCTCTTAGAAAATCTATCCAAGTGTAACTAGAGAAATCATCAACACACAAGAACATATTCTTTCTGTTGTAGCTTTCAACCTGAATTCGACCCATCAATTCCATATTTAACAAGTCCAATATTTGACTCGTGTTCACCTTAGGTATTTTATTGTGTGTGGCCTTCATTTGTTTACCTATCTGGCATGATCTACAAACACAATGTTCTTGCCTCTTTTGCTTCCGCAAACCACGAACAATACCTGCATTGGATAAATTAATTAAGTGAGCATAATTAATATGACCAAGTTTTTGATGCCACAATTCAACAATGTCCATAGCAGTCTCATGACAATTAATCCTATGCTCAACTAGGTTGCAGTTATCACTTGATCTAGGCCCTGTAAGAACATGATTGTTCTTTCGATAAAAAACAAAGCATTTTGATTTATTAAAACTCACACACAATCTTTGGTCACAAAATTGACTAATACTCAATAGGTTAGCTTTGAAGTTCTCAACAAGTAGCGCATTCTGAAGCTTAGGTAAACTAGGCATGGTCAAACATCCAATTTCCACTAATTTATTTCTTTCACCTTCAGCAAAAGTCCTAGAACCACAAGGCATAAACAATATATTAACCAAATTAGATCTAGTTTTGGTCATGTGTTGAGAACATCCACCATCAAAATATAAATCAGAATTAGACATAGATTTCAAGTCAATTAAAGAGAATAAAAAAAATATTTTGACTCCATTTCGAACCTCAATCTTTTTTTGTAGATGATTCTTCAAGTCAACTTTTGGTTTTGGTGTTTTTACAAGAACACCATGTGGACTCCAATCATTAATACGACTTGTATGAACATTGTTATGCATTCTATAACATCTAGGATGAATATGACCAAGAATTCCACAGTACTGACAAGTAGGGATGAAGTTCTTAATGTAAACCTTATGATGTTCGTGCACATAGTTTGTCTTACCTTTTTTTATCTTTCAAACCAGAACCCTCTTTCACAAAATTTAGGTTAGACTTACTCAATAAAGCTCTAGATTCAAATACCTTACCTTTCAGCTTTGAAAGCTAATAAACATTGTCGTGATCCATATATTCAATTTGTTTGCTCAAATTCTGAACTTTTGTGAATGGAACCTTTGGCTTGTCTCTTAATTTTTTATTTAATCTTTTTCAGATATTTGTACAGTGATCTCGTAGAGTCACATGTTCTTGCATAACACGACCAAGTTTATTCTTCAAGACGACAATCTCAACTTTCCTCTCATCTAATGCATTATGCAAAACAAACATCTCATTAAGTAAAGATGCAATGGCAAAGTCTTTCTCATCACAAATATGTTTGGTTAATTTGTTCGCATGTTACGTCAAGGCAAGCTTGGCCAGAAATTGATTGGGCTCATGCCCTTGTTTGCTGGTATGGAGGTCATATATGGTCAGTTTGTCACTGAGTTCACCATACATCACACGGGTCTTTTGAAGCTTGTCCTTTAGATAGGTGATTTCCTTCATATATTCCTCAGATCAATGTTCCAACACCTATAGCGTTCGACATGAGTCTGATATTTCTTAATGACCATTGCATATTTGATAAACTTCTTAATGACATGCTTATGCATGGAAAGATCTTTCTTAGTATGTCAAAGAACTCATATGAACTCTCATCAGAATTAGTTTCAGCATGCATCTAATAACCCATACTAGAGTCGTCATCCGTGAGGTGGACAAAGGATGTGTAGCACGTAATATCATTAAGAGAACCTCTAGAAAAGTTATTGGAATGCTCAAAACAATTAGCTTGTTCTGCACCATCATCATCATCATCGTCCCACATGGCTTGATAAATTTTGTTCTTTCTGTTGAAATTTGGGCAATCAACCTAGAAATGTCCAAACCCCTTGCACTCACAACATGGGTCCTTTTCAATACTTTGATTATGATTCTGAGTATTTGAAGACTGCGAGTTGGAATGTCAATCTTTACACTTTCGATTCATGTTCTTTCTAAAGTCAGTTGTCTTCTTTCATTGAAACTTTCTTGATTCTTCTTTAACCTATATACGTTTCATGTACGAATAGTCAGTGCCTTAGCAATTCCTTCAGCATCGAGAGGGTCATCCTCAGAGTGCTCTTCTTCTTCATTATTCTGTGTTGGAACATTGGCTTTCAATGCGAAGCCTTTGCTCCTGATAATATCAAAGTCATAGTTAATTTCAAACGTACGTAAGTCTCCAAGTTAATCAACAATAGCTAGAGAGTGCATCCTCACAAAACTCTCAAGTGCGGTAATTTTCTCGCTAAACCTCTTAGGAAGTGTTCACATGAGTTTTTTTCACTTGTCTTACCTCTGAAACCTCTTCACCAAGCATGATGCTTTGGTTCACAAGATCACAAAACTAAGAATAGTACACTTTTATAGTTTTGTCTTCCCTCATCTGAATTTTATCATGTTCTATAGTAATCTATTGAAGCTTGGAACCCTTCACCGTTGGTTTCAATTATAATAGTTGGAGGAGCAACTTGGACATTGCCCCGACTGCAAAAGGGTACAAATTTGTACACATTGATAATTTTTTCTAGAGGTTTCTACTGAGCAGTAGAAGGAGAAGTATGTTAGGTAGAGAAAGCTAACTATTTTTTTTTTACCTACACAAAACGTGATAATATATATAATAAAAGTAAGAAAATATAATTAAATTACCATTTTGTAAAAGGTATAATATTATGATCATATATGAAATAAAAGGAAAAAAAATATATGAAATAAAAGGAAAAAATGTACTTATATATATTTTTTAAAGGTATAATATTATGATCTATTTCGCGAAAATAAATCAAAACCAGTAAAATTTGTGATTTTTTTTTTAAACGATAGAGATTTTATATCATAAAATGAGGGAGATTTGTGTCAAATGATTCAATTGTGAAATTTGATAATCTTTGGGGAGCAAATCGGAAATATCCCAACCCTCACCGAGAGACTTCATATTTCGCCTTATGCTCTCTCTCTCCTCCGTCTTCTCTTCCCCTTTCTGATTTTCGTTTTTCCAATTTCCCAATATTTATTAATTTTCATCAAACTCTAATGAAATAAATCAGATTATTATTATTATTATTTTCCTCCTCCAAACCCCAAATAAAACCACTAAAAATTATTTACCCCTCTTTTCTTTTTGCTCACTATAATGGCCTTTCATGTTGCTTGCCCAATTACATGGTAGCCCTCTCTAATCTCCTTCACTTGTGTAATAATCTCCCTCTCCCGTTTTGTTTCGTTTTTTTTTTTTCCGGTACTCTCACCGGAGTGTGTTTACGCGGTGCTCCGGCCGAGATGCGCTTTGATATTGCGACGTATTTCTCACCCCTTTTGCTCGCTTTTGCAGCCGGAGGATATGTTTCTGCGCGCTAGGGTTTCCCCGGAAGCTCCGTGGCGAGAAGGGCAAGGAGGATTTCTTGGAGGAGGTTGCTAGGGTTGAGAAGTTCTTGAGCGACCCGTGGTTGATCAAGGGGAGGGAGAATGCGACGATTCAGGTCAAGGTTCCCAAGGTTGTTGCACCGCCGGCCCCTCAGCTTCCTCTGCCGGCGCCGCAATTGCCGCCACCCGGATCGGTGGCGGGCGGAGACGCCGGAGATGAGGCAGCACTGGCGGCTTCGGCGCTGGTGAAGAGGGCGGCGCTGCAGAAGCAAGCTGCTGCGGCGTCGGTGGTGGCCGAGGATTATGCCAGGAAGTTTGAGTCCGGTGATTTGATAGTGAGTTCTCTTTCTTTTTTTTTTTCTTTATTTTTTTTATTTTTTTAAATTTAGAGAGTTACTTTTTATTTCCCAAATATACAATTTAAATTGTCTGATGTGTGTACCTCGTCCCATTTCGGGTTCTTTCTTGTGGAATATGTGATGTGTAATGGTTTCTGACATACTCTGAATTAGTGTTTTTTCTCAGTTTTGATTTTGTGCTTAGTTAGTTCTATTCGAATTTCAAATATGGGTTTTCACTCGAACAAATTAACAAGTGTTGTATTAATGTGCTACTGTTTGTTAAGAAAGACGTTCCCTTTTCATTTTAACTAAGCTGATGCATTTTTCCTGCAGTTCCTCTCAACTGTGTTCTATGTGTTGCTTTAGATGCTGTTTGACTTTACTCGGAGGAAACTTTTGTCAGTCTTTTTTTCTTTTTTTTTCGTTTTTGTTTTTTTGAGATAATGTGGTACTGTCTTGTATGTTGTGTTTGGAGATAGCTTAGCTGGATTCATGCATATTGACACCCATGCTCATTTTCAATGCGTTTATAATGAATTGTTTATTGTTCAATCAGTTTGTCTTCGAACGATAATTGGTGAAGGAAGGCCTTTTTGAAAGTTATAAGCGATGAATTGCAGTTACGAAATTTAATAAATTGTTAGTTGCTTTGGCTGCAGTGAGACTAGTATCTATGCTTAAATAGTTTTTTTTAGCTCGTACGTAACATTTATGGGACATTCTATTGCAATGATTTTCTTTGTGCTGATCAAATTTTAGATCTATAGATGTATCGGGCTTGGAGAAATGAATGATGATGCCTCATTGATTTCATGTACCATGAAACGACATTTTCGAAGGCATAAAACTTGTAGAAGATGATTTAAGTAGACCATTATTAAATCCACACACACACACACACACACATAATCGGCCTAACCATGGAACTCGTGTCATGCCATGTGCTTGTCATCCTTTTGAAGATGTATGCTGTTTATGATCATTAATACATTTAATATTCTGACAATGTTTCATTTTTGTTGCATGCATCAATGAGTTCTATATTCATGTCACTGGAATGGTTGAGGGAGTGTTGTATTTATGAACTTCCATAGGCATGTCTATAACTTTCTCTCTGTTGAACTTGGGATGTACCTATCTATTGGTAATTGGTAATGTTGTTTGCAACTTTGATTATTAAAAGATTGTTGGCTTGTTCAGCTATATTTCTACAAGATGCTTACAGAATTTGTTGCATTTTTCCCTAGCATATTTCTGTAAAGGATGCTGCTGGGGGGGAGCAAGGGCAGTCAACTTCGAAAGTATTGTGCCGCCTATGCTTTTCTGGTGAATATGATGGAAGTGAAAGGGCAAGAAAAATGCTACCTTGCAATACTTGTGGGAAGAAGTATCACCGGAACTGTCTGAAAGCATGGTCACAAAACAGAGGTACTGTCTCTGGCTGCAATTTATTGTACTTAATATGTCTGAGCGTTTTGATGAAATTGTTTGTTTCAGATCTTTTTCACTGGAGTTCTTGGACTTGTCCCTCTTGTCGTATGTGTGAGGTAAACTCTGATGCCTTAGCCCTTCACAATTGTGCTTAATTTATGAAATGATATTTTGAATTAGGTTACCTGACAATATCAGTATCAGTATGAGAAGCATTCCACTTGTTAATTGTTATAAATTAGGACTTGTTATATATGTATATGGACATTATCTTATTTGAGAAATTTAATCACTGTCTCCAATTTACATTTTCTGTCCTAGAAGTTATGCTGAAGTTTGAAGTAATGTTGAAGAAATTTATTTGGAGGTGCAGTAGGTGCTTAAGAATGAAAAAATGTCAAGAAACTGCTATAGTGCAAGAGTTATTGATTTGTTATGCATGGATGTCATGCTTTTTAGAGATAATTATTTGTTTGAAGTTCGGTTTTAAGTAGGCGACGTCAACCGAGTGTTGTTTATGTTTCTCACTTTTTGCATTTGTTTCACTTGCTTGTTAGTTGCTTGGGACATCTTTCAGCTTCTAATCAATTTGTGATGTTATATTTTTTATTTTTATTTTTTTGGGTTTCATGGTTACTGTAGGTCTGCAGAATAACTGGAGATCCTAATAAATTCATGTTCTGTAAAAGGTGTGATGGTGCATACCATTGTTATTGCCAGCAACCTCCACATAAGGTATACTGCTGATTTCTAAACCTTGGCGATATACTTATTGATCAGCTTATAATTTCACCTTGGTATCATGCAGAATGTTGGTCATGGACCTTATTTGTGTCCAAAACATACCAAGTGTCACAGCTGTGGTTCTGCTGTTCCTGGAAATGGCCTTAGCGTAAGGTACGACTTTCTCTACCAAAATTTGTATTTTTGATTTGTCTTGTATTTACACTGGTAAAAGCTTTAACCTTTTCTCTTTTAGATTCTCTGTTGTTTTAGTTTGTTATTATTAATAATATTTGACTGATTGCTTTTGGGTTATGGGTAATGTATCTGTGATGTCCGTATCTGTATGTTTAGGACTTAATGGGACTATTTCATGCGTAACACATTGTAGTAATATTTTCTGTATGTGCTTACCTGATAGGCTAATCACTCAGATAATGTTGTGCTCTTCTTTTTGCTCCTCTCTTTCCTTAGGATAGGTATAAAGGTATTTATTTCATAACTTGCTATAGTAATATGAGATGCGAATTATTTATCTATTATCATCAGTTTGCCCTGGTTATCAAATCCAATCAACCCCTTAGTGTCTGCATGCATGCATCCATTTAATATCATATGCAACATGCGTACTATACATCTGTTCCCACCTCCACAGTCAAGCTATACCTTGGTTAGTTAGAGTTTTCTTCCAAGCTGGAACTGAATTGGTCACATTAATATAATAAATACGAATACTAGTGAAAATAAAGTTTATTGAATGACACAGGTGCTATGTCTTGTGGTGGTATCTTAGCCTACCTCTGCATATTTAGTGTCTGCATGCATGTATCAATTTAATACCAAATGCAAAATGCATACAATACATCTTTTCCCACCTCTACAGGCAAACTATATATTGGTTAATTAGAGTGCTCTTCCAAGCTGGAACTGTTTGGCACGAATAATGTGTCTATTTTGAGTTTTCCCATGATTAATGTCCCGAAATTTTGTGCAGTTCTTGTTAACTCCAAGATTATTTATTGTAAATCCTCCTTAATGTAAGGACTGGAAGTCTTTGCATCTAGTTTATTTCTCATGTGCTGAAAGTGTTCTAATTTGTATGAACAGAATGAAGTATTTTTTTTTATTTTTCATGTTTTTCCTCTGTTCCACATACCCACATTTCCATAGGGGTCAATAAAAAAAGGAAGTGGAAAATAAAAGAAGAAAATGATGGAAATAAAATGCAGGATTCTCGTGACTGTTTGTGAAATGATGCAGGTGGTTTTTAGGCTATACTTGCTGTGATGCATGTGGAAGATTGTTTGTGAAGGGAAATTACTGCCCTGTTTGTTTGAAGGTACTGCTTGGTTCCCTGTCTATTCATTTGGTTTATTTCTGCCTCTAAGTGCATCAACATGTTGTTTATCCATCTTACTAAAGCAGCGCAAGTTGATTTCTCAACTATTGGCCTTACACAATGCAGGTCTATAGGGACTCTGAATCAACTCCCATGGTGTGCTGTGATATCTGTCAAAAATGGGTGCACTGTCCCTGTGATGGGATCAGGTTTCTCCATCTCTTTTATCGCAAACTTATAATTGGATTTGATCATGTCGTTTTATTTTCTTATTTTGGCCCCCATTTTGTCACATGATTGGAAGATGAAGTTTTGTATAAACATTGGTGTTCAAAACGGCATTAAATTGAAAGATGTAATTTGAGTTGTATTCTCAACAAAGTGAATTCCAGTATGCACGTGGCAGAAATCTCGTCGTTTTTATGATTTTGGATACTGAAGTTCCCTTTCTTGCATGATTGTTGTTTATTTTCGTTGACATTCTAAAATTACATTTTTTTATTCTGTACAAGTGAATTAAGAGTTCCTAGAAATTATAGTTTAAGTAGGCGGAAAATATTGTTAGAATGAGCTTGACAAGTTTTAAGTGAGAGCTTGCTATAGGTTTCTCTCAGTCTTTTTTCCCATACAATTTTGTAGTTTCTATTATGCAGCAGAATATATCTTTTACTGCATATAGGTGGAAGGCCACTAAGTATTATTGGAATGACTATGTAGCTACGGAACTATGGCAGTTTAAACCAGTAAACTAATCTCAGATTTCATGTATATGGTATTAATGTACGCCCTAGTTTGGCAAGAAGGCATTTTAAACTGACTTCCCTTTGGTGTTTGTTGATTAAAGATTTAAAAAGAGTTTATAAACCAAGATAGGAGGGTTCTGAGAATTAGAGGACCAAATGTTAAGTGATTGAGTGAAAAGTCTTTTCTATTCTCTGCTTATGTCATATTAGAACTCTCAGGCATATGAGCCTCTTTGGGGTTCGGTTTGGCGCATGTTGTACTTCAGCGTTTCTGACCTGGTGGTTTCTTCTTCTGGATTAAAACTTAATTTGGTTTATAATAATTGTTGGATATTTGTTTCCAGCGATGCAAAATACATGCAATTTCAAGTTGACAGAAATCTCCAATATGTTTGCCCTACTTGCCGTGGAGAATGCTCTCAGGTGGGTTTTTTAGGTTGAATGACTTTGAAGATATATATTTGGTGAATTCCTTCTTTATTTTTGTACGTTTCATATTTACTATTGATTTCTCCTTGTACCAGGTTAGGAATCTTGAGGAGGCTGTTCAGGAGCTCTGGAGACGAAGAGATGAAGCTGATAAGGACTTGATTGCCAGCCTGAGGACGGCTGCTGGTTTGCCCTCCCAGGAAGAAATTTTCGAAATTTCACCTTTCTCTGACGATGAAGAGAGTGGACCCTTGATAAAGAGTGAATACAGTCGTTCTTTGAAACTTTCTCTTAAAGGTTTGGGCGATAAATCACCGAAAAAGGGCAAGGAGTCTGGAAAGAAATCTTCGAAAAAGAAGTATTGCAAAAAAAAGGGGAATGAAAAATCTCTGACTGGTGGAGATGAAGGTTTACAAAGTCTTATTGGGCATGCTGATCTTGCAAGTGGACCCAAAATTGGTGATGATAAAAATGAAGAAATGCAATTTTCTGGTGAACCTGCTATGCTATCTCCTATTGCTGGAAGTTTGACTGAAAGCATATCTACAGGAAACGAGGCAGCAGCGTCAAAACACAAATATATTGATGAGGTGACAGCCACCAATGTTTCTAAGGGGTCTAGAACTATTAAGATAAAGAATAATAGATCAAGGGACCCAACTAATAAGGAAGATACTGGAGTTAGTGGTGGTTTTCCAAAGACGGCACTGGGACCCAAGCTTGTTATACATTTGGGAGGACGAAGTAGAAGTGCAGCTGGCTCGTCAAGGTCTGACTCTAGGAGGGGGACGGAGTTGACATCAGTTAAAGGTACGCTTAGAATTGTTTCCACTTGCAAACTTACAGTTGAGCATTTCTCGATTTTAATTTATGGGTCTGTTATATGATTCATGTGGGACCAGTTGAAATGTTTAACTAGAAGCAGTCATTTTCTGTTCTTATTTGTGCTTAAATTCATAGAATAGGTAATTGCATGCACTTTTATCGGTGTATTGTGCTCATTTTACAAGTATGTTCTATGCATTTTTCGCTTGTAAATAAATATTAGAGTTTTCTTTATTTTAATTTTTTGGGCCAGATTATGACGATTTGAAATTATGAACACTTAGGTTGGTAAAAATCAAATTATTTAACATAATCCCGTGTTCATGAATTTCCTGAATATGTAGTAAAAATAGTGATGCCAACATGTATTAGGCTCCAAAAATACAATCCAACGCCTGGCCCTGCAACTACCAAAAAGAGGAAAATGCTTGCAGGATATAAGAATTCTGTTCTATGTTGGCCATCTTTATTTTTTATAGCATCTTTCATCCATTGTGCTTATATCTTACAAAAAGCCTCTGCTAATTTTGTGTTAATGCAGGACACAAAGCAGACCACACTGACCAAGCGAAAAGTTCGAAACTGATAAAACTCAAGAATCCCAATTCAGAACTTCCTAACACTAGCTTGAAACTCACTGCAGGAGAATTTTCTGATGTGTATGAATCTGTTTCTGCAAAGAAGGCAAATTCTCTACTTGGGAAAAGAAGTGGCCAGGACAGCACACCTGCAAGGAGTGGGTCGGAAGCCCCAGTCAGCAAAAGGACCAAACATTCTTCAACAAGACATGTTGATGATGCGTCTGTATTTGTTGACACCACAGGCGAAGATCACGGTGTATTGGCCTCATCAAGGGATCAGAAGCCTTCGTTGAAGTTTAAAATTCCAAAGAATTCTAGTAGCGGATACCAAAATGTTGCGGGTAATTTTGGTACCGGAAGTCAAAATTCACTGTTGCTTCGTGGAAAGGATGACATAACCTACACAAGAGGTCAGAGGTCAAAGAGGAGGAGACCACCAGTAGGTGACGAGGATGGCGGGTCTCAATGGCGTGAGGACAACACGATGAAGGAATTTACGGATGCCAACTGGGTCCTGCAGAAGTTAGGAAAAGATGCTGCTGGGAAGAGAGTAGAAATACACCAGCCGTCCAATAACACTTGGTGAGTTTTGTTTAGATGATACTAATACTTATGCTATTCTATAGGACTCAAGGATTCATGGTGAAATATTCGCCCCAATTTCTAGGATGTGGTTCAAATGAGAACCAAGTCTTAGCGTGAGAACCGTGAGAACCGCTATTTTTAATTGTATGTAGTGCTATGATTGATTGTGTTTTAGTGCTATTTTTAACTATGATGTATTTTATTAGAAGTAGCAATAAATTTTTTATTAGCATTTGTGAAAATAATAGCACCATGCAATATTAAAAATAGCATCATACACAATGAAAGATAGCATCAAATATGGTTCTCACGGTTCTCACACCAGACCAAGTTTTTATTTGAACCAACCCCTATATATATATATATATTTTTTTTTTTTTTTCTTCTTCTTTTTCTCTATTTGTGTGGATCAATGTAGTTTATTTTTTTGGTTATGTTTGGCAGTATGTTGAGAACTTGAATTTATAAATTATTTTTAATTATTTTCAAACATCCCAAAGAGTCTTAATGTGTCTTTTATCCCAAACCAGCGTGTTTTAAGTTGGTTAGGCTAACCTACTTTTTTACAATTAAATTGCTGAATTATCATTACTGTTATTATTCATCATGTTTTATTGCAAGTGTAATTCGCTGTAGCAATGTTGAGTTCGTTTTGCGTTCTTTTCCTTTGAACCAGGCATAGGGGCACAGTAATTGAAGTCTCCGAGGGTACATCAGTTGTTTCCATTGCTCTTGACGATGGGAAGTCCAAGAGCTTTGAACTGGGGAAGCAAGGTATCCGTTTTGTGTCCCAGAAGCAAAAACATTGATTTTATGGACTTCTACTGGATTCAAACCGAGCAAGTACTGGAAAGATTAATGAAAACTCAAGGATCGCTTGAAAAGTGGTTGCCAGTGTTGTCAATCCCCGGTCTCCTAGATTTGTCGTAAGTTAGGATCGGGCTTGATTCATGCTATGCTGGTCATTGTTTTTTAGGTTGGATTTCATTTCATTATCTAACATAAGCAAGTCCATGTTTTTAGACCCCTTTCTGAGGTTTGAGATTGATTTTTTTAGTCTTTGCAATGTGGCCCTTGATTTTGGTTTAGTCAAGCCTGGGCCTTTTGTTTGTACTCTGTATTTTCTGTAAATGCTTTGAGAGTTCAATGTAGTTACGGTGCTCTCTACTTGGAGAATTGGAATATGTTTGTCGGCCCCTCACGAAATAACCTTTTCTCGATTTATGCGTGTCATCTTTGCACAGGGATCATGCTAATCTTTTCTATATCGTTTCAATTTTATCAGGTGTCCCCGAATAAGGGACCCCTCATGAAATAACCTATCTGCACTTCATACTCAAGTGTTTTAATCTTGTATGTTTGGTCACGAAACATCTTCCGTACAAACATGGTACTTGAGATGTAAACTAAATAATAAATATAAACTACGTTTTAAATTATCAATTAATTTGCTTATAAATGAATAACACGTTTGAACGAATTTGATTTAAATTATCAATTAATTGCTTAAAAAATTTCTGATTTTACGTTTAAAATAAAAAAAATTTAAATTATCAATTAATTGCTTAAAAAATTTCTGATTTTACGTTTCTTTAAAAATAAAAAATGCAATAATATTCCGTTGCCGGGACTTGAACCCGGGTCTCTCGGGTGAGAGCCGAGTATCCTAACCACCTAGACTACAACGGATTGATTTATCATCATCGATGTTCAGACTATTTAAACGTATTTTGATAATTTCAATTATGTAATTGGCCTATATATAAACTAGGTATTAGAATTTGAAGTCTTTGCGTAATGCGTTTACAGCAAGCTACTTCCATCACTCTGTGAAACCCAACCACACAAAAAATCTGGAGAAATCGGTAATGGAGTCGACACGAGAAAATGGCATCGTTTGTGATGAGAATGGCAAAACCAATGCTCCTCCATGGACCTTCGCTACGAGTTGGGTAGTAGCTCGTGGGTCTACCCAGGCTTCCGTCACGGTTGACTCCTCCGATTACCCCATTGATGAGCCCGACCCGGAAATTGCGGCCCGTAATTCGCCTCTTCTTCTCAATCCGTCGCTTCCTGATTCTGGCCCTTGCGACATTAAGAGTAATTTACTAATCTTTGTGACTCATGCTTTAATTCTGGTGATTAAATAGTTTCGGTGGTGTTCTCGAAGTGTTGTTTGCTTTATATGTTTGTGCATTAGGGTTTATCGAATTGTCATTTATGATTGTTTTTAGAGAGTTTGTGGAGATTGTTGGTTTGAATCCTGTACTGGATTCGATATGCGAAGATCATTTCATATGTGATTATGGGGATTGAACAGCTGCACTGGGGATTTATTTATTTATTTATTTTCTGTTGACAATTTAAATTTAAGTATCCGAACGGAAAAGGTAGTGATTGAGTTTATAAATATATTCCACTGCTAATGAACTTAGCTAGACCATGGGATTATGTGATAGAAAGTTTCACCTATAAGTTGAGCGCGGTTCTCGGTTCTCGTGTACTGTCCGAGTCTATATTTGCACAATCCTCAATGGCTTGTCAATGATGGCGATTCCCATGTTTTCTTCTAATTGTTTGTTGTCTGTTTGCTTTGTGATTATATAAAATGTTGCATAACATTATTGTGTAATGGCGGCAGCAATATTATATTGTTTCTCGAAATTTGTATATGCATAGTGTCTTCTGATCATGTTCTGTATTCTGTGGAAACTAGGTTTACTGATTTGACAATATCAATGTTTGCAGTATGTTTTGGTCGGAAGTATGACGTCAGTCAAATCTATGTTCGGAGCACCGCTCGTGTGTATGAAGTCTATTATGCCCATTATCCAAATAGTAGCAGTGAATATCTTTGTACTGTTAAATGTGGTGTTGCCGAAAGGGATGGAATAATACTGCAAACCAGTTGCATCGAAGATGTTGTGAAGGAGCATGGTGAGTGTCTATCGGGTGAAATAACTAAAGACAGTGTTGCTGATGGGGAAACTAGTGTTTCTAGTGAGGATGAATGGGTTAAGATTAAAGTACCTGAGGTTGAGAGTAACTCCATGCCAGACAAGGTTAATACCAACAGGATGAAAAATGTGCAGGTATGATATATTTTCCTGTCCATACTCTTTTCTAGGCTCTACTTATTTGACTTAATTATTTATTTCTGAAGTTCGTTATCGTGTTCATCTGTGCATGCTTAATATCAAGTAGTTGTGTTCTTTTTCATGAGCAACTGAAGAAAAGGTTTTACTTCTTTTATTCAATGTCATAAGCCATCTGGTTACGTAGGTAAAACCCTTAACTTGTTTTTTCCGTTTTATGGGTTGGAGATGATGAACTAAAGTAAAAAAAAAAAAAAAAATGTACTGGCAAGAAATTCATGGGATATTACTATCTGCAGGATCTTTATGAGGCTACAGCGCAGATAAGCGATGCAGATCCTTGCTCGGTGCTTACAATTCGGTTGCTGTCTCTTCAACACAAAAGAAATGTGTATGTTGATGAGATTTATGTGTTTGCGGACCCTGTAGAGTCAACTGAAGCAGGAAATGAGACGGTATTGGCAGGAAGCTCCACTCAAAGTTCTCTAATGGCCATGTTTGTCCCAACTCTTTTGCAATTGTCAAAATCAGGTGCACACCATGTTGAAGACAAATATACTTCTGTTAAAGGGTTTAAGGATAATGAGATGGATGCTACTGGTAAGGGGTCCAGGGATAATAAGATGGAAAATGGTTCCAAAAGGAATGATGAAAGTGATGTCCTCTCACAAATAAACCGAGTTAATGAACAATATGCGATGTCAAAAGAACTAGAGAAGGATATTTTGGAAGATCCTGTAACAAAATACGTGGAGCCTGTAAACATGAAGGATTCACCTCCAGGACGCCTTGAAAGAGCTTTGGAGCAGCTTATTTCACGAGTGAGCAGAGTGGAAGATATTTGCCTGAGGTTCGAAGAAAAAATGATGAAGCCCATTGAAAGCATAGAGGCAAGGCTTCAAATGGTCGAGCATCAACTTCAGAAACTTACTGATAATACTAACCATTATGCCTTGCCACGTGGCACGAAAATCTGTGCCCCTACATTTTCATACTGTGAATCAAATTCAAGCTCATTCAACGCCGAGCAAAGCGATTTACCAGCTTCTAGGGCATCAGAGCTTGAAACCAGGAGTTTGTTATGTAATAACACGGCCAAGTTACCCCATGACGCAAATTTTCTCCCTGGTCTTATAGTTAGTGCACCTGAGTTCCCATGTGAAGAAGATGAAGAAGACTTTGAACCAGCCAAGGAATCTCCTAGTGTGGAACCAAAGAAAGCTTTGTCAGTTGATGATGCTTTAGCGGCTGCCCTTAATGGGTTTTTATCCAGTGCTGGAATTCATCCATCCGATTGTCAAGCATCTTCAGCCTTTTCTGGAACAGTTGATGAGGGAAACAATCAAGAAGATACTGGTTCTATCACAATAGAAGTAGAAGATTTCCTATCTGCAGATAATGTCAATGGAAATTCTTTGCAGCATGGCCATGGCTTTACATGTAGGGCTCCTGAATTCGTTGAAGAGAAAAACAGCAATGATGAATATTTGAATTATACCCAGACCCCTTTGGACACAGATTCCGAAATTAAGAATGATGAATGTGAACGAGGTGATTTTGGCAAAAAATTGAGTGCGCACGACTTTGAGTCGGAATCTCATATTGGCTTCCCTGCTGCTTTTGAAGAAAATAAAGTAGATGGTGACTTTGAAAGGGATACTGTTTTCAGTTCTGTCAAGACTTGTATTGATGCTAAACCTGACCTAGACAAGGGCTCCATGGAAGCTAGGAAAAATATGATTGGTGGTATTTACGATGAAACATATCCAGGGAAAACGGCTGATTCGAACCCAGATGATGGTGATGACTTGATTTTGAAGCAGGGTTTAGGAGATGCATCAGCAAGTAAACCTGAAGATCCAGAAAAACATGATAAGATTCCAATTGTCTCTGACACTTCATCTTCTTCCATGTTGGACTTTGGGTTCCCTATTTTGGAAGTGAAATTCACGTCTGACATGTCTGCCATTACTAAAACCCCCCTTGAAGCTCTTTTAGGTGGAGAAAAAGAATCTGATACCGAAGTCCTTTCTGCTGCCGATGTTTATAATGATGATGAGAATATTGAGCATATTAATGGTGATGTTGTGGGTGGCAGTGAAACGACCAACTTTTTGCCTATTAAGGATCTTTTGATAGATACTGGAGTTTCTTCTATTGCTGATGATGGCTTGGAGGATGGATCTGACAGATTGTGCGATCCAATCACCCCGCATATGAATGTGAGTCTTATTTGATATTTAGGGAAATAGTAAATATGTATATAGTTTTCACGTAGCAGTTTTAAATTTTAATTTTATTCGACGTTTCTCGTATTAGTTGGTGTGAAAGACTGGAGGAGGGCCTCTTGACTTTACAAACTAAACCTTCTGTTTTCTGTAGAGGATTTGGACTTGAGTTCCGGTTAGGTATGGGATTATCAATCAATTTCTGGTATTGTGGGATCATTGCATTGATCTCCTTACGGTTTCTATTCGCCTTACACATGCCCAGGTGTGCTTCTATGATATTACAAACAAATGTCAGGAGTTTGTTTCAGACGTCATTATGAACACATCCATCGACTTACAGATTTATTGCATGACCGAATCATAAATTCCGGTTATTTTTGTTCTAATTTTTGAGCTCTAGTATTTATGTGTAGTTATACCCATATTTTCTCAGTGGGAGAAAAGAACTCAACTATAACTCAACCACAATATTTCCAATTTTATCAATATAATAATTAAGTAATAATAATTAATCATTTTAACACATCATATCAATTTTAATTCAATATTAATTAACTATCATATCATATCATCTTTCTCCTATTTTTACATTAGATTAATTTTAATTATTGTATTTTAAATATTAATTTAATATAAACTCGAAATCTCACTGACAACTAACTGTACCACTTTTTTCTGGATTAACCCTAATTAACTAAAAAAACTCGAATTTATTAGTTTACAAACACACCCTTAACATCTTATAACTATGGCCCTGTTTGTTTTTTAGCGTTTTGATCTAAAAAGAGCTTTTCCACATTTTTAGCTGTTTGACTTTATAAATCTGCCAAAAAAAAGTGTTTGGAAAACAGCTTTTACACACAGCTTTTTTTGTCTAACAGTTAAAATTTAAAACGCTGCAAAATGCAGCGTTTGAGATTAGCTTCTCAAAATAAAAATCCAAAAGGTCTTAATTGCCCACGAACTTGTTCAGATCCTTCCACTTTTTCTTTCAATTTCCAAAACAAACAAAGTATATTTTTTTTTTCGGTTAATTTTTCTAAAATCCTCAATGCACACTTGAGTTTCTTTGTCAGTCCCTAAGTTAATTTTTTTTCCTCTGCACTCCCTAACACAATTTTTTATTTCCTCTTCACTCCCCATATATATACTAATATTACTATTATTCCTTTATTTTGGTTGAAAATCATAAAAAATTAAAAAAAAGTCTCTCCTGTTCCCGTCTCTCTCTTTCTCTCACACATTTTCATCGATGGTGTCTCTCTCTCTTTTTTCCATTGAAGCTCTTCGTCGAAACCTTCGAAATTGGTAGAAAAACGCGGTCTTTAGGGGAATCGAGGCAATCAAAACCCTGACTTCTCCACTCATCGGCCCAAATCCCGCTTGATTTAGCTCTCTACAAATAGATATTATATTTTTCTCCGTTTAATTTCCGATCTGTGATTAAAAGAAACTAAAATTGTAAATTGCCCTTCACCTGCGATTGGGGAAAGTTGGATCTCGGCGGCCTCTTCTTGCTGGGGTCGTGGATCTTGGCGGTGGAGCCAGACGCGTCGCCTCCTCCACGATTAATCGCCGAAATTTATCTGTTGATACTCAAATTGCAGGTATCCATAATTAGTTTCCTATGTGCTCAATCATCCTTTTGAGTTTTCCCTTTGTTTTGCCCCCCAATAGCTTCCCAAAAAGTTGTCTTCGTTATCTCTGATTTTTTTCTTTTTTTTTTTTTATTGTGTAAGGATATGGGAATGTTTTGCTTGAAATATCCTTGTTTCTCGGTGATGAACAAACTATGAAACTCAATAGCTTTGAGTAGAGCTGTGTTGTTTTTTCTTACTTCTGCATGGCATTGCTGGAAATATATTAGGAGGTGTGATATGTTTTTGACTCTTTTTTAGTGAAAGGATGTTGGTGAAAGTTGTTACTTTGTTTCTGATGAGAGATTTTGGGATGTTCTATTTTTGTTGGATGTTTAACCAGCTCAATACATGCATTAAGTATTTGCTCGAGGTCCAATTTAATGTGGGGAATGGTTCTGCATCTCAACATGTTTATTTGATGCTAGATATCGACTGCCCTAGGCCATATTGACTTTATAAAATTTTACATTTTTGTTTTGAGAAAAACAAGCCAATGCAGGTAAGGTTGTGAGAGTTTCAATGATGCTTCAGCTCATGGTAAAATAAGGCTACTGTGAACTTGGGATCATATGAAGATTCAGTCTTGTTTAAAATTGAATTCTCCATTTACAATGAATGATTTCATTTTGTGGAATTGGGCACTATTGTTTTAGGTGACTTCTGCTTATGAAAAAGTTTATTATGAACACCATTCATATGGAGAGATGTTTATCCCATAATTTGCTATGAGTTTTCACATGGGTCCTCCTGTTACTTTAGCTTGTATGCATCCATTTTTGTGTATTTTACTCACAAAGTCAGTTTGTGGAACTTTA